TTTAATTCTGCAGAAATCTTCTGGACGCGGCGAGCTGCTGATCTCACTTTGTTATCAGTCTACAACAAATACTCTCACTGTGGTTGTTTTAAAGGCCAGACATCTACCTAAAGCCGATGTTTCAGGATTATCAGGTAATTTAAAAAGGAGACCACATGGAGTGACATTGATGGATTCTCAGCTGGCGAGGATGGGGACAGGTGGAACCTAGAAATCTGCCAATTACAGGAAAGCAAATGATGTCCTTGCTTTTTTGTTGTTATTATTAAAATTTAAAAAAAGTTTCAGAGCTACTTTTGAAAAGGGCAGATGTATGAGTTTCCTTTTTTGCGGAGTTTTAAGCCTACTCTAACTCCCACGGAGATAAATTCACCATAAAATAGCACTCAGACTTATATACCGCTTCACAGTGCTTTACAGCCCTCTCTAAGCAGTTTACAGAGTCAGCCTGTTGCCCCTCCCAACAATCTGGGTCCTCATTTTACCGACCTCGGAAGGATGGAAGGCTGAGTCAACCCTGAGATGGTTAAGATTGAACTCTAGGCTGTGGGCAGAATCAACCTGCAATACTGCATTCTAACCACAAGGAAGGAAGGAAGGAAGGAAGGAAGGAAGGAAGGAAGGAAGGAAGGAAGGAAGGAAGGAAGGAAGGAAGGAAGGAAGGACAATAGCAATAGCACTTAGACTTATATACCACCTCACAGTGCTTTACAGCTCTCTCTAAGCGGTTTACAGAGTCAGCCTGTTGCCCTCAACAATCTGGGTCCTCATTTTATCCACCTTGGAAAGGCGAAAGGCTGAGTCAAACCAGGATCGAACTCCAGGTTGTGAGCAGAGTTTGCTTGGAATATTGCATTCTAACCACACTGCCACGAGGGAGGGAGGGAGAAAGAAGGAAGAAAGGAAGAAAGGAAGAAAGGAAGGAATAGCAATAGCACTTAGACTTATATATCGTTTCACAGCCCTCTCTAAGCAGTTTACAGAGTCAGCATTTTGCCCCCAACAATCTGGGTCCTCATTTTGCCAACCTCACAAGGATGGAAGGCTGAGTCAACCTGGAGCCGGTGAGAATCGAACTGCTGGCAATGAGCAGTGAGTTAGCCTGCAATACTGCATTCTCACCACTCAGCCACCATGGCTCCTGCAATAACAAGCATAAAATAATAAAATCAGGTTAAGCAGGAACACAACAATATTTTATGTGTGTGTGTGTGTTTGGGGGGGAGAAATTATGAAAGCTATTCTAGGTCACGAATTATGAAAGCTATTCTAGGTCACCCACTCCAGTGATGTTTGAGGAATAATAGCAACACATGCAACTTTCATCAGCTTTTATTGAACGGGAACAGAGTGGTTAATCTACCCATAAACTTTCTTTTTCATAACTTCATAAAGATACTGTAATGTGCATATAAGTCCATTCACCTTTGAATTGGCTCATTATTCTTCTGTGTTGGCTTTGCCTGTAAGTTCCCATGTCCAGAATTATTAGCAATAACCGTTCAGACCCAGGAAATATGGAAGCTGCCAAACACCCTTGGATAGAATAGAATAGAACAGAAGAATAGAATAGAATGGAATAGAATGGAATAGAATAGAATAGAATAGAATAGAATAGAATAGAATAGAATAGAATAGAATAGAGCTGGAAGGGACCTTGGGGGTCTTCTAGTCCAGCCCCATGCTCAAGCAGGAGAACGTATACCATTTCAGACAGGTGATTGTACAGTCTCTTCTTAAAAATTTCCAGTGATGGAGCGCCCACGATTTCTGGGGGTAAGCTGCTCCACTGGTTAATTGTCCTCCCTGTCAGGAAGTTTCTCCTTAATTCCAGGTTGCTTCTCTCTTTCATTAGATTCCATCCATTGTGTCTTGTCCTGCCCTCTGGTGCTTTGGAGAATAATTTAGAATAGAGCTGGCAGGCACCTTGGAGGTCTTCTAGTCCAGCCCCTTGCTCAAGCAGGAGAACCTATACCGTCTCAGACATTAATTCTCCTTAATTCCAGATTGCTTCTCTCCTTGATTAGTTTCCATTCATTGTTTCTTGTCTTACCTTCTGGTGCTTTGGAAAATAAGTTGACCCCCCTCTTCTTGGTGGCAGCCCCTCAAATACTGGAAGACTGCTATCATGTCCCACCCTAGTCCTTCTTTTCTCTAGACTGGCCAAACCCAAGTCCTGCAGCCGTTCTTCATATGTTTTAGTCTCCAGACCTTGGATCCTCTTAGTTGCAATTTGCCTCGGGGTTTTTTGGGGCAGTCTAAGTCAACCGTTGCATGTTCCTTATTTTTGCAGACCCCTACGTCAAAGTGAACCTTTACCATGCCAAGAAGCGGATCTCCAAAAAGAAGACGCACGTCAAGAAGTGTACCCCCAACGCGGTGTTCAACGAACTCTTCGTCTTTGATATCCCTTGCCAGGGTCTCGAAGAGATCAGCATTGAATTCTTAGTACTGGATTCCGACAGGGGATCTCGGAACGACATCATCGGCCGGTTAACCTTGGCGGCTTCTGTGGAAGGCACGGCTGGAGAACATTGGAAGGAGATCTGCGAATATCCTAGGAGACAGATTGCGAAATGGCACATGCTGTGCGACGGCTAACCAAGGAGAAAGAGGTTGGACCTTTTGAAAAAGAGAAGTCCCATAGGCAAGGATTACTTTTCTTTCTTTGCATTGTATAATCATAGGCTTGTACTCTGGGAACCGGGTGGGAAAATCGTTATTGTTTGTCGTGATTGTTAAGACCGCAATCGATCTATCCCAACAGAAGTTAACTTACGTTTTGGTTGACGTTCTCATCTTCTTCTTTTTTCTTCTTGCAAAAAAAAAAAAAAAAAATCAAACCATCATCCTGTAGCAAAGGTTCATATTCTGCGACAGAACACGCCCCTCTAGAGACACAAAAGTGCTGTAACCACAAATTGAAACTGGTTTCTTAAAAAAATACAAACCCACACACACTAATTTATTAGGAATTTTAGATGACAACAGCTTCATTTGATACACGCTCGGTCTAGAGATACCTGTGTTTTTTGTAAAGTCGAAAACTGCGAAGCAAATGAACCAACCAACAAACAAAAAAGGACTAAAACAGGATGCGCGAATGGGAAAGAAGTTTCTCCTCCAATTTGATTTTCTTTCTTTTTTGTTTTTGTTTTTGTTACGAAACCACGTTGCGTAAAGGTTAATTCATACTTTGAGTAAGGCAAAGAGTTGGGATTATTATTATTATTTTTAACAACCTGCATTTCCTATTTTCAGCCTAATTTGCTCCTTTTAGAATTTAGGAGGAGATTTAGATTTTACACAAGGGACTGGGTCCCGCTTGAGATCAATACACTCAGCAATTACGTTAGCATCCTTGATAGGGTTCACTTTGTTTAAGCAAGGGCTTAGAAGGTCATGCAAGCGATGTAAATTTTACTAGGAGGTTGGGGTTTGTGCTTTAACGTGTAGCCTATGGTGAATTTCTTTCTTTTTTTAAAAAAAAAATGCATTTATTTTGTCCTCTCCACCCCCATTCCCTCATAATTCACGTTTCTCCCCCCCCCCAGATCTAACCAGGTGAACATAACTGTAGAAAGTTATATCAAAGATGCTCTTTTCACCTGGTCTATTTTGAAACAGCCGTGGATCAAACGGAAATGTGTTTCTACCGGTTTCTATTTGTTTTATTATGCTGTACCTAAAAACAAAATGCAAACAAACAAACAAAAAAAATTAAAAATTTAAAAAAGAAAAAAAAAAGAACAACAACAAACAAAAAAAGTTAGGATATACATACCGAGCACTGATTCTTTTAAAAACGATGCCATTATAACTGGGTAAATATGGGATTTTAGCAGAATTATTGCCTGAGTGAGCTTTGACATCTCGTACTAACTCACCTGTAAATAAGCTGTTTTACTGTCGCAATTCAGGTCGCTCCATACAGGTTGTCCCCTACTTACGACCACAGTTCCTGTTGCTAAGTGAGATGCTTGTTTTGCTCCATTTTATGACTTTCCTTGCCACAGTTGTTAAGGGAATCACTGCAGGTCTCAAGTGGGGAACACAATTGTTAAGTCAATTTACCTTCTCCATTGTCCGGAGGTCGCAAAAGTGGATGACGAGACCCCAGGACACTGCGACCGTCGTAAATAGGAGCCAATTGCCCAATTGCCCAGATTTTGATCATATGAGGAAAATGGGGACACTGAAATGGGCGTAAGTGTGCAAAAACGGTCATAAGTCACTTTTTTCCAGCACCGTTGTAACTTAGAATGGTCACTAAATGAACTGTTGCAAGGCGAGGATGACCTATACTATTTGTGCCATTGGGTGACAGTTGAAGATCAAAGGGGTGTAGCAGAGGGACAGTGTCAGGACTATCAGTGTAAGATGCACGGATCCTATGATCGTTATTCTTTTTTCCCGGTATGAGTGAGTGGGATGCAATTCAGTTTGGGAACATTTAGAATAGAATAGAGCTGGAAGGGACCTTGGAGGTCTTCTAGTCCAGCCCCCCGCTCAAGCAGGAGAATCTATACCATCTCAGACAAGTGACTATCCAGTCTCTTCTTAAAAACCTCCAGTGATGGAGCACCCACGATTTCTGGAGGCAACTTCTGTTCCACCGGTTAATTGTCCTCACTGTCAGGAAGTTTCTCCTTAATTCCAGGTTGCTTCTCTCTTTGGTCAGTTTCCAACCATTGTTTCTTCTCCTGCTCTCTGGTGCTTTGGAGAATAACATGACCCCCTCTTCTTTGTGGCAGCCCCCCAAATACTGGAATACTGCTATTTCTATGTCACTCCTATTTCTTCTTTTCTCTAGACTGCCAAACCCAGGCCCTGCAGCCTTTCTTCATATGTTTTAGTCTCCAGACCTTTGATCATCTTAGTTGCTCTTCTCTGAACTTTTTCCAAACTCTCAACATCTTTTTTTGTGATATGGTGACCAAAACTGGCTGCAGTATTCCAGGGGTGGCCTCACTAGGGTTTTGTAAAGCGGTACTAATACTCCACGTGATCTTGATTCTATGCATCTGTTTATGCAACCCAGGATTGTATTAGCTTTTTTTGGTGGCTGCTGCACATTGCTGGCTCATAGTCATATCTTCTATTCAATCACGGCAGCCCAAGGACATGTCATTGCCTTCCACTTCCCTAGGAATTTTCCTGACTAAATATTTCTAGGCAGAGAGGACAGATTGTGTGAGCCCCTGGTGGGCCACTTTCCATATCTGATGAGTTGGACACCACACCACTTGGTGATGGGTACCAGGATGCAGTGGCCAATGCCAAGCAAACTCATGCTCAAAATAAAATAACATAAAATAAAATATGTACCCTAGGAAACTTACATATCTGTTTACATAGAAACTCTTTTAAAACCAACAGATTAGCACAACTGCAGCAGACCTAGAAGGAAATGCTCTATGGAAGGAATTCTCAACAAGCTGTAGTGAAAACAACTAAGCTGGAAATTTAAACACCCAGAGTTTCATGTTGTGGTCATTGAATTGTTCTGCAAGAGATACGTCTAGTGCAGGGGTAGGCAACCTTGGCTCTTTTATGATTGGTGGACTTCAACTCCCAGAATTCCTGAGCCAGCAGGGCTCAGCTTGGAAACTTCTCCCTTTCCCCTCAGCATGGCTGGCTCAGGAATTCTGGGAGTTGAAGTCCACGAGTCATAAAAGAGCCAAGGTTGCCTACTCCTGGTCTAATGAATTATTTGGAAAAGACAGTTGTGAAAGCAGTATGAATAAGGTAATGTTGGGATTCCTAGAGATATGCATGAAAAACAGGAATATCTTGACCTAGTTTCCATTGACCTGTATTTGGACTTTAAGTCCCAAACATAAACCATGTTCCTTAATTAAAGAGCTGCTAAAATGAGGGCACATTCATTCAGGGATGGGCAATGTTTTGGTGGCAAGGACTACCAAAATTTTCGGGAAGCCCAAGGCCCACAAAATGTGGGTGACCCTCTCACATATGTGGATGGGGTTAGGGTCTATTCTTTTTAAGAGTAAGATGTCTATTTTTGGTCTGGCAATGCATTTTCTTAAGCTGTTTCCCAACTGCAAATGGCAGGAGGCGGTGCTGCCATTTTTTTCAGCAGACGTGGCCATAAGGCTAGGAAAAGAGGACTTGGGGATCATGTGTGGTCCTGAAGATGCAGGTCGATCATCCTTGGTCTATGTCTTCTTGGCCTCACAAGCTTTATGTGAAATCTTAGGAGCTGAGGGGTCACTTTGGCCTTACAAGCAAAAAAAAGTGACACAATTTGAGGGATTAGGGTCCCATGGCGGGTTTCAAGGAGACCCAACTAGCCAAAACCTCTATTTTAATTGATCATAGCCAAAGTACTCCAAAACTTAAGGAACAGGGAAAGGGTTAGCCCCATCAAGCATGAACCACGAAATGGCGGCTGTGTTGAAGAATTAGAAATGGCGTTTCCTAGATTCGCCATTGGCCAGAGCAGAATAAGAAAAGACTAAAAATGTGAAATATGCAACAAATATTACTGAAAGAATTCCACTTAGAGTCTTTCAGGATGTTCTCTCTCTCTCTCTCTCTCTCTCTCTCTCTCTCTCTCTCTCTCTCTCTCTCTTT